GACAATGAACTGCTTTGAAAACACCATCTTCGTTCGTGTTTTCTGGCTCATGTTGCCTGGCTAAGCTCAATTCCATAACTCAAACCTGCTTATTAACAATTCCACAAGTCTGACCACCACCTCCTCCTCCTCTCTCAAAAATATTCTACCTGTGCATTTTCTGTTCACTCAACCTTTGCATTGTATGGCAAATCACCTTCACCCTTTGGGTGGTGAGCATAATCTCAGCAGGTCACTTGCTTACATCCTAGTGGTGGACATGGAGCTGGACAAATCTGTCATTTATAAGCAACTGGCTGTAGGGCCTTAGGTAAATCACTTCCCCTCTCCAGGCTCCATTGTAACCAGTGAGGGTGTTAGACACAAAGACTTTCAGGGTTCTTTCAAATCCAGCAGTGGATAATTTTCTCATTTGCACCACACGTTGATCTCAATAAGAAAGTACTCTAGAACGGGTTGGCTGAGTCCCACCCAGGGCCCATCATTTCTTTGCTTTCTGCATTTTCGTTTTCTCCCTGAGACTGTCTCCTTCTGGGATAGCCTACAGTCTGTCCCATTGGGCTGCTATGACTCTCCCACAATATTCCACAGTCTGTTGCTTTTGCCCACCCTTTCCCCAACAGTCTGAATGTTCTCCTTGGTGCTCAGGAGCCCCTTGGTCTGAGCAGATGCAGAGCCTCCATCTCACTCAGCACACCACGTGGACTGGCTCCCTCTCTACTTCTGGGTTTCCATCTGCATTGTTCAGAGCTAGCTGCCTCTCTCAAATGCTCAGGTAAACTACTGGAAAATATTCATCTGCCCCTTGGTGCTTCTGCAGAATGCTGTGAGCCAGACGCAGCCCCTCCCTAGAGCAAGTTCTGCCCTCAGCCCATGACTCATTCATGGAGCAGCAGACACCAGCTACCCCCACCCCAGCAGTGCGGAGACAGTTTGTAACGTACACCAACCCGGCTCCTTTCCTACACAGATGCCCCACTCACAGCCACCCAGAATCAACACCCTCACTCACTCACCTTCACTGCCAGAGTTTTGTCTGTGCCCTTAGCCTCGTTTTTGCGATGCTCCTTGGGAACTGCAGGGTGAATGGATGCTCTTCCTAGGAAGAAGCTAGGGAAACTTCCACTCCACAATTTTTATTTACAATGGGTGGGTCGGAAAAAATGGGTCAAAGACTAGTAAGCATAGAGAATGTTTTCTAAATCTAAGCAAGAAGTGCATTTGAATCATGACTGAGTTTGGCATCCATCTCTCTTCAGCTCATTTACTCATAACCTTCGGCCCTTCCACACATCTGACTTCAGAGTTAGAAGATTACCCTCAACTACAGGCTTGGAAGTGCTGTAATCACACAGCTTCTGAGTCATGTTTACAGCCAGTGTGGCTCTGGGGTCACTGGACTGTGTCAGTGATAGAGCGGAGTTACCACCACAAAAGGTGTTTACGTAGAAGTCTGAAACAAGTACAAACCTGCACAAGTCTCAGTGATGTGTCTCGAGGGGATGGGTGGGGAATAACTGTCTGTGAAGGGCCACTACACCAAAACACTGGAATTCTCATTTGACCCCATAAACAAGAGGAGTTTATGAAAAGGGCGACATCGCTAAATACTTAAAAAGCACACAGACTATCAAGAATAGACCTGGCTGGGCGCAGTGACTCATGCCTGTAATCCCAGCACTTTGGGAGGTCGAGGCAGATGGATCATGAGGTCAGGAGTTCGAGACCAGCCTGGCCAAGATGGTGAAACCCCGTCTCTACTAAAAATACAAAAATTAGCCAGGCACTACCAGTAGCATGCGCCTGTAATCCCAGCTACTCGGGAGGCTGAGGCAGGAGAATTGCTTGAACCCGGGGGATGGAGGTTGCAGTGAGCCGGGATTGCTCCACTGCACTCCGGCTTGGGTGACAGAGCAAGACTCCGTTTCGGGCAGGGGAAGAATAGACCAACATGGGGTCCCTAAGATAATCAAGTTTATTTATTTAAGGGGGTAAATATGTGCAAAGGAAGGGGAACCAGCAAATGTAATCTGGGTTTTAAAAGACATTTTGTTGTTGTTGTTGTTGTTTTTGGGGGGACGGAGTCTCACACTGTTGCCCAGACTGGAGTGCAGGGGTGCTCACTGCAAGCTCTGCCTCCTGAGTTCACGCCATTCTCCTGCCTCAGCCTCCCGAGTAGCCATTACGGGTGCCTGCCACCACGCCTGGCTAATTTTTTGTACTTTTAGTAGAGTCAGGGTTTCACTGTGTTAGCCAGGATGGTCTTGATCTCCTGACCTCATGATCCGCCTGCCTCAGCCTCCTAAAATGCTGGGAGCTGGGATTACAGGCGTGAGTCACCGCACCTGGCCTTAAAAGACTTTTTAACCACTTCTATCCTAACGGTTAAATTAAAACAAAATCAGTCATAGAACTCAGATTCATTTTATCTGTCATGGATACAAAAGTTATTTGAGACAAAAAACAAAATTAGGGAAAATAAACACATATTAAACTGTGTGCCTTCCAGATACTTGTAGGCTGATCTTATTAAAATCACTACAAATGGCCAAGACAGAGCAAGTAGTGCACAGTTAAAAGCTAAAGGTCATGGTTAACTTTAAGTACAAGTTGGTAGTAAAAATAAACTTTAAAAAGTAGCTTTCTAAGCTGTGTGCTTAGGCAAAAATGACGGAAGTCCAATGTGGTCAAGTGCACACATAAAATAACTGAGCACACACCTATATGATTTTAAGCTCCAAGCATATTACAATTCAGAAAAGTTTCTATGAATAGAACTATTTTTGAGTCTCCTGAAGACACTACTCAATGCATTGTTTTGCTTAAGAAAGCAACAAAATACTGTATATTCATACATGCTTCAAATGCAGTTCTGTCCAAAAAGTCTTGGTTGATGATTGTTTTCATACTCTCTTTTAAGAAATGGCCATGTAATGGTGCCAGTAATCACTGAAGAAGTTGAGTTCAATTCTGGAAATCTGAAGACGGATGGGACAGTGAGTGAACCTATATTAAATTTTTCCAAACCTAAAGCATAGTTAGTAATTCAACTGAAGAGACATTACTCATGTCTAAATTTCTCTTTTTCTTTTTTTAACCAAGGACTTAAAAGACAGGTAAAGCCTAATGCTTTCTAATATCCCAGATTAGGTGAGCATAACCCAATTAAATGAATACATATTAAAAATCTAAAAAATGGTTTTAGAAGTCTTACAGAACTTATGTTCAAAGGGAAGAGAAAGCCTTAACAACTTCAAGCAAAGAAGCAGTCATGCAACTCAAAAAATTATTTGCATTCAGAAGCTGATATTGTATCTCTCTGAGAAAATAATGGAGAATTTGCCTTGAAAATAATATATAGGGCTGGATATGGAACTGTTTGAGCCATAGGGCCAGTATTCAAATACTGGTTTGCACGAATAGTTTGGATTATAATTACTGTTATTGCAATCAATATGAATCAATTATTATTTTATATGTTAGTTTGTGCAAATTATAGCACATACAAATAATATATATAATCTACTTTAAAAATCTGGCTTTTTGAAAAGAGTGAAAAACCTCAATTGAACTTCTCCAAAACCATCCAATTTTGGATATTTTTGCAATGTCATCTTGCTTACGATAAAATAATATTAGCCCACATTTTTTTTTTTTTTCTGACATGGAGTCTCACTGTGTTGCCCATGCTGGAGTGCCGTAGGACGATTTTGGCTCAGTGCAGCCTCTGCCTCCCGGGTTCCAGCAATTCTCCTGCCTCAGCCTCCTAGGTAGCTGGGATTACCGGTATGCGCCACCATGCCTGGCTAATTTTTGTATTTTTACTAGAGACGGGGTTTCACCATGTTGGCTACACTGGTCTCAAACTCCTGCCCTCAGGTGATCTGCCCGCTTTGACCTCCAAAGTGCTAGGGTTACAATTGCACCCAGCCTAGCCCACATCTTAATGACTACAGTGATGATTTTTTTCAATATTAAGTAAACTGGCCAAACACAGTGGCTCACACCTGTAATTCTAGTACTTTGGTAGGCCAAGGCAGGATAATTGCTTAAGGCCAGGAGTTTGAGACCAGCCTGGGCAGCACAGCAAGATCCTGTCTCTATAAAAAAATTAATTAATTAAACTTAAAACATTAAAAAAATAAAAAATTAAGGAAGCTAACATATGTTAGGATACACTGAAAACACAGTATGTTATTAAAAGGATGACAATTACGTCACATCATTGTTAAGTGGGCCTAGGACAAACTTTATAGCATCATTCTTACCTTTGTACAAAGCTGCAATGCAATTCTACTACTGAGCCTCCTAAACACGAAACAGAGTAGTAGAGTGTCAAAGGAAGGACTATTATAGATGAAAAGATGGCATAAAAGATAACTATGGTATTGTTATATAAGGACACCAACGAGAAAAAAATTTAGTCATATTCTTCAACCGAGACAGGCAACCTGAAAGAAACTAGAGAATAACACATTTGTTAGAGTTAAGTAGGGCTTTGGACGTTACTTGGTTCGAGCCCACGTTTTACATTTAAGGGCACAGAGACACAGAAGGGTTGAACTGTGGCAGCGTGGGGCCTGCAGTTTGGGTCTTGTGGCTTGGATCCCAGGCCTCTTTCCATCCTGCCTTTCACAAAGAAGAAAGCTAAAGCAGCTGAGAAGATATTTTCACAGTAATTCAGGTCAGAATATAAAATCATGGATGGTCCAAGTCGGATTTGCCCAATCCACCCAAATCATCCTATACCTATACCTTATGAGTACGGCAAAGATGAGGTTTTCATCACCTGTCAATTACTCCTAACTTTTTCTACAACCTCTGAAGCTGTAACAAGCAGAAAAGCTGTCCAAACTCTCAGGGGTCAGAAAGCAGGAATCAGGAACTGCCATCACCTAGGCACCACCTTAGTCTTTTATGACACCTAAACCCAACAGGCTGGAACTCTTGGGATTCCATGTTTTGAACCCTTTTCAGTGCTGAGGAGTTTGAGAAGAAAATACTCGGAGAAGTGCCAAGTTTATTAGAGTGAGAGAGTATTACCCTCACATTGCCACCAATAGACATAGATCTCAGAGACACACTGACCTCGCACCATAATTATGGAGAACTTCTAGGTTGGAAGATACCTTAGAGGTCACCGGGCTGACCCTCCCATCTGATGTGTTAACCCCTCTTAAACATCTCCCTCCAGGAGACTGATGTCTGATTCTGTTTAACATACGGCCATCAGAGAAACTCTGGCCAGCTCTGAATCTGCACCCTGGAGGCGGAGAATGTTTAAGCACTGTAACGCAGTAGAAGGAAAGTTCCTTGGCTCAGGCCCCAATGGTCCCTTTTTTTTTTTTTTTTTAAATGATAAAAGGTTCCCAGTGTCCAGTGCAAAGTCCCTCGAAATCCCTCCACCAAGCACAAAGCACAAAAGGAGGCCTGGGCCGAGGGACCGGGTTAGCTGGATTTTGTCCTTGAGCTTTGAGAAGGCCTAGTTCTCTGTCCACAGAAGGCCTCTCTTGCAGGGTTCTGGGGCCAGCCCTTGCGACGAGCAGCTTGTTCTTCAGCTCAGGAAAGTCCTCTCAGAGAAGACTTAGGCTTGCTGTTCCACCAGCTGTAGTTTGGCAGTCTTGACTCGATGAGCTTCCTTCAGGTTCCGCGCACGGACTTCTGGGTTGGAAATGAACTCCACCTGTTGCACAGGAAACCAGCCTCGCTCCCCGTCTGAGAGCCTCACGCCCTCCAGCCAGCCTGTGGGCACAGGGTGAGTGGGAAGAATTACCTGGGAAAGGCTCTTTTGCTTCCCTGGATCACCTTCCTGGAGACTTTCTGAATCCTCAGGCTGAGTGAACTGGGGATCCTCCAGCATAAACCCAGCCTCCAAGTGTCCTAACATGGCGGCCCTGGGTGTGGCCAAGTCTACAGCTGTCCACTCCTGAGCCTTCACCACTGTTAACGTCCCATCATGTCCCTCCCAACATTTATATTGATGTTCTAATCCTCCGTACCTCAAAATGTGACCTTATGGGGAATGAGGTTGTCACAAATGTAATTAATAAAGTTAAGATGAGGTCATACTGGAGTTAGGTGGCTATTAATCCAGTATACGTGGTGTCTATATAAAGTAGGAAAACTTGGGCTGGGCGTGGTAGCTCACGCCTGTAATTCCAGCACTTCGGGAGGCTGAGGGGGGTGGATTACTTGAGGTTAGGAGTTCAAGACCAGCCTGACCAATATGGTGAAACCCCATCTCTACTAAAAATCCAAAAATTAGCCAGGTGTGGTGGCTTAACGCAGCTACTTGGGAGACTGAGGCAGGAGAAACACTTGAATCCAGGAGGCAGAGGTTGCAGTGAGCCAAGATTGCACCACTGCACTCCAGCCTGGGCAACAGGGCAAGACACTGTCTAAAATAAATAAATAAATAAATAATAATAATACATAAAATAAAAAAATAAAGGAGGAAAACTTGGACACAGACACAGGAAGGCAGCCAGCCACAGGAAGACAGAGGCAGAGACTGGAAAGATCCTGCCACAAGCCAAGGAACAGCTGGGGCAACCAGACCGGAAAAAGTACGGAAGGATCCTCCCTAGAGGTTTCAAAAGGCACATGGCTCTGCCCACACCTTGATTTGGGACTTCTTGCCTCCAGAACTGTGAAAGAACGCATTTCTGTTGCCATAGGCCACCCAGTCCATGGTACTTTGTTAGGGCAGCTGCAGGAAGTGAACACATTCCCAGCGCTGCCCTGCCTGCAGTGCCTGGCCTGCTGCTCACACGTCCTCCTGCTTACCGTCGCTGCTCTGCTGAGTCACCATCACCACGTCGGCTTTCTCCAGTGCCAACTCATCATTCTCTCGGGGCTTGTAGGCTCGAAGGCACTGTACCTGGGGGGAGTCTTTGGAAGAGAAGAGTGTGAAGAGAGGTTAGGAGACGCAGGGGATTGGAACACAGACAGGGACTTGGAGGGGGGTGGCGTGGGAGGACCTGAGATAGAGACGGGTTTGGGCTATTGAAAGTCACAGACAAAAGAGGAAATTTGAAAATGGTTAACAAAGAAATAGACATACCAGAAATGAAATGGACCCAAAATTCCACTTCTCCAGAGGAGACGGGTTGAGAAATACATTGTGACCACCTTTAGTTCCTCATCTCGAATACCTGAGATCCAGCTAATGACCCATCTTCCCTCTGAAACCCTCCCTGATTCTAATCTTCAATGGGTTCTGAACTCTTAAGACTGCTTGTTCATGCCAAGGCATTTATCCCTTATCTAACTGCTACATGGACGTGTTTTGCCTCTCCAACTGGATTATAAAATCTGAGTCTGTGTTTTATTGTTCATTTTCTTCCAGGTAGCAGATGTGGAATCAAGAAAGACTTAACCAGTGGGGTCCCAGGTCTGACCTAAGCAAGAGACTGAATGCCCTGGAGCTTCAGTTTCCTCATCTATCAGTGATCAAGATGGTTATTGATCAAGGTTGATCAGATGACTCTTGAGGACATTCAGGATTTCTCTATTTCTATGTTTTTGAGAACCAGGGGACATGTCCATAGAGCTGAAGCTCAAGAAAACAAGCCTCAGAGAATGCTTCACCTATCAGTATTCCATCGTATGTGGGTTTATGGCTCTGTTACCACACTGCCTTGATTCTCTTGTAAAAGAAACGGAATACTGCATTACTATTTGCTTTCTCAAGATCCTCCCCATTGACCATTCACAAGGTCAAAATGAAGGAGGAAGAGTGCTCCTGCCCTCCTCACCCACTGGGGAACTGAAGCCAGCAGATGGAGCACACAGAGAGCAAGTTAGCAGAGCTCAGTTACTACACGGCTCTCCTACTTCATTCCCAGGGTTCCTTGTAGTTGTTTGTTCTTTTCAGTCACTAAAGGTCCAGTGTTGAGATCAGATTCTCTGTTTTTAAATTAGGAAATCTTTGCTGGAGGACAACTGTGGGGCTGGCATGAGAGGCATAAGAAGTCCAGTCTTGGTGTGAACACAGACACATACATAATGTGTGTGCGCCTGTGGCTCCCCATGGGCACCCAAAAGCCTGGGGTAGGTGACCTCAGGTCACCCTCTTAGGAGAAGTGTGGTCAAGATAGATCTGGGGTGCTACCCTCCTGCACACCTCCCACCACCGTCAGGCTTTTTTCCCCTACCCCCACAAGACCTTCAGGCAGGTAAAATCTAGGCGAAGTAATGTCAGCTTAGACTTAAAGGGATAAATGTTTTTAAAAAGAGCAAACTATTGCCCAAGGAAGGGCGTGTATAAGGAAGGGGGACTGCCACGGTGACAAGCAGTTTTAGGCGATACGTTTCAGGCATTTAAGCTCTAGAGGCCAATCTTCCACCCTGACATTTTACAGAATATCAGTAAATGGAAGCCTAGAGTTCCCACCCAGCCCTTTCAACCCCTGTATCCAAAGGTGACATCTGACCCTGCTTGCTTTTCTCTCCCTCTTAGACCCTCACTCACCGTAACACTCCAGGAGGTCCAACTCTTCTCTTGGCATGGCCAAGGCTGAGATCCACCGAAGCTTTTCACTTCTGAGAAAACAAAGCAGGGTCATAGCGTCAACTGTGGGGGTGGAGGAGGAGGGCCAAGGACGGGGATGGCAAAAGACTGTGGGAAGGACTTATTTAGCTCCACGACTTCTACCACAAAAATAGGACTATAAGGACTCCTTTGGGTTGGAAACATGACACAGTCTTGAACTATATGTGAATGTGTCTTGTCACACTTTACTTTTCCTCTTTTCTTTCCAGAATTATCCTCCTTATGGCTTCTCATATCTTCCAAGTTGGGGCATAAAGTCCATTAGTCATAAAGTCTATAGATTTTCTGTTTTGGAAATTGTGCTAAGTGAAGTGTCCATCTCAGTTTAGATTCCCTCCACCATTTTTTGCATGATTCTTGATACTCCCTTGCCTATCTCCCTCCAACCAAATATCTCAGACATGAACATTGTTTTATAATAATAATTAGATCAGGGAGATATGTCTACTATTTTATTTGTTGTTGTTGCACAGTGTAATCCAAGCCTAAGTTTATAATCATTTGAAGGTTTTTACATTCTCTTTGCCTCTGCGCTCAGTTGTGCCTAGGTAACTGAGCCCAGACACTATTACTGTTCCAGAACACTGTTCAAAGCAGCAAACCAACAACATGCATCTGCATCTGATTATTTGACTTATGTGCTATTTTGCACACAAACTCCTATACTAGTCCTTCTGTTCAATAAATGAGAACAGGTGTTGTCGGTCCCACTCTGAAGTATCTTCCAAGGGACAAAACTGAAAAAGTGTCTACAACATAGGGATCCTCAACCACTTAGATATGTCAAACTTTTAAACGACTGTTCATATATCTTTTATAATAGCAATAACAGCTACAGGCTTTTATATGTTCATGATTGCAGGCACTGTGTTCCAGATTTTATAGGTCCTATTAATACTCTCAAAAATGTATGTCTGTGTGAATGTATTTTATTATTATTGAAAACAGGAGCAAATAAGCATTCTCAACACTATGGATTTCTGGTCAACAGAGGACTGGGTTGGAAGATGGGAGCACAGAAAGCGAAAGTCACCCGGCACTTGTCTTATTCACATCTGTGCGCGCCAGCTGGGGCATAGAAGGGTTTCTGCCTCAGGCATGGAGGCAGGTGCCCACAGATATCAGTATTCCAATCCCTTGCTCACTCCATACCAGTCCTTCTCCTTTCTGATACCACACAGACCTGGTCCTTCTTGAGTAAAGAGTGTAAAATAGATGCTAGGCCTCGGTGGTGACCTTGTACCCTCTCCCACCGCAATCTCCTGCAAGTTATCCATTAGTTCTAGGCGTTTGGATTTCTCTATGGTGGTCCCCAGTCCAGAATGGGTTAAACGAGGCCGTGGCTGTTTTCTGGACACATTTTCTGTCTTGGTGCCACTTCTTTTCTAGGCTGCCCATCTTCCCCCATCCCCAACTCCTCTGCCCAGCCCCGTCTCACTGAGTCTCCGTGCTGAAGAGGAACTCGGCCTGGGTGCCCTGAGTGTTCTGCCGCAGAAAGAGTCGGAACAGGTTTTTGTGAGGTCCATGTAGCTTCATTTCACACTTCTCTCCCCGAATGGAGGAGAAGGGAGCATGGTCAAATACCAGGAATCGGCTACCCCTGCAAAATACAAATCCTTTCAACCTGATTCTAGAGTTTCCATACTTCACCTACCCTCATAACCTTGGATTCAAAATTCCTGCATCTGCAGCCTGCAAATTCCCACAAAAACCACAAGATGGTCCTAACTTGCTCTCAAGATGGTAGCTCCAGGGTCCTTGGGGCTTTGTCACTAGTCTGACAAACCACACACCTAGTGCAATGGATACATTACCACTTTAAAGAGGTGAAGAGGTAGAATTAATATACATTTCCCAAGAACCTTAAGACCAGAGACTTAAGATCTGGAATTAGCTAAGTATCTCTAGAATAGTAGGTTGAGCCCAGTCCAAAGAAGCCACAAACAGACTGATATGAGAACGTGAGAAGCTAATTTGCTACATTTTGCTCTGTGTCTGTAACATAGTACATGTCCTGCCATGTGGTCTCATGACATAGTTTGATGGGATCCCCTTTTTGCTTTGGGCTTGTTTTTCTCTTCTCTAGGCTATGACCTGGGCTCTATGGGTTAAGCCATTGACAAGGGCTCTTCTAGGAACATGACCTGTCTCTCTCCCTTTCCGACCCCCTCTTGCCTCATCCCCTTCCTCTCTTGTGCCCTGGCCTGCCACTCCAGTCACTGACTCTCGGGGCCGAGACAGCAGCAGACAGTCATTGAAGAGGTGAAGGTGGACTGGACGTGTGTTCAGCTTCCTTCGCAGCCCTGGGGAAACACTGAACTCCAAGGCTGTCAGCTCCCCACTCTTCACCAGCCAGCGTGACTGAGAAATGAGTGGGAATATCTACAGGGCATAGGAAGAGAGACAAGGCAGTGTCACATATGGGAGAAGCATGAGGTTTGCTCCTGGTCCCACCCTCCTCCCCATGACACTTCCATGCAAGTTCCACCTCGAATAAGCATCTCTTCCACATCTGCCTTCTGGCTCATAACCCATCACTTAGATTCTCTTTCTCTCTGAACCCTCTAACTACCACTGTCCACTGGTGTGTGGATCCCACGGTTGTATGCTCAGGCAAACAGAAGATGCCATTGGTCCCACTCAGGATAGTGAGTGTGTGGGACAGCTCTGCCCTAGAAGCCTGAACCGAAGGAAGGATGGAAGAGTCCAATCAGGGTATGTGATGGAACAAGTCAGTGAACACTGTATGTGTCTTAGAGGTTAAAATATTAGAGGCAGGTCTGGTATCAATTCCATTTTTTATTATACCAGAGATATATGAGCAGTTGGAATCAAACGTAGGGGTGAGAAGAAGAACCAGGTGGGGCATCTTGGAGCTGGAATTTGGTTATAGATGAGGGTGTGGTCTATGCTTAGTATGTGAATAAGGGATTTTTCTTTCTTTTTCAGGAGTGTAAAGATAGTATCTGTTCTAATCACGGGCGTGGTGGCTCACGCCTATAATCCCAGCACTTTGGAAGGCAGAGGTGGGTGGATCACTTGAGGCCACGAGTTGGAGATCAGCTTGTCCACCATGGTGAAACCCCATCTCTACTAAAAATACAAAATCCAGCCACACATGGTAGTGCAGACCTGGAATCCCAGCTACTCGGGAGGCCGAGGCATGAGAATCACTTGAACCTTGGAGGTGGAGGTTGCAGTGAGCCGATCGCACCCCTGTACTCTAGCCTGGAGCGACAGAGTGAGACTCTGTCAAAAAAAAAAAAAGAAAAATAAAAGATGGTATCTGTCTAAGTTGGAATTCGAATGTGGAATGTCTATTTTAGATTTGTATTTCGATGAAGGATGTTGGTCCTAAATTTGGATCCAATCTTATGTAGGTTTGATTAGACTAGAAAGAGATTTGATAAAGTAGTAAATGACTCAAGCACCAAAAGATTGTTTTATAAAGGCTCATCCTGAAAAGTTCTGTCTTATCTGCCCATTTCTCAAATGCACCCCCTTGTCCTTCAGGCAACCACTATTCCTTTTTTTCTTGTTCTCCTTCCAGAGTTTCTGTATGTACACACAAGCAGATACCTGTATGTATTCGTATCCTCCTACTTTTATACCAAAGGTGATACAATACACACACTTTTCTTTACCTTCTCTTTTCACTTAGCAATATGTCTTGGAGACCGAAGTAGGCCTCCCAGAAATAGGACAGAACAGAAGTTGGGCAGAAATGAGGGGAGGGGCTGGGGATAATGTGAGCAAGGTGGTTCCAGGTTAGGGGTCATCTGCAGGACATGTTGAGGGAGTTCATGGGCAGGGATGGCGTGCATGGGACCGACTCACTTTGCACTCAAACTCAATCTTCTGGCTCAGGTAGATTAGCTCCTCTGTCTGTCGCATACTCTGGACATTGTTATTGCAGTCCCGGATCAGCTAGGGGTGCGTAGAGTGAGGAAAGGGGAAGGGCACCGTGTTAGAGGCTTTGACCTTTGAGTCCCCTGCAAGCAATCTGGAAACAGGTTATGACAGCCTTGGTCATTTCTCCCAGGCTGGAATTGGGCAGGCAGTATCAAGCACAAGTCCTGGGCAACTTTGCAGGACCCGGAAGAACATTCTTGGACTGAGTAAAAATGAGATTGAATGTGGGGGCGATGGTGGAGAGGGCACAGTCCCTTGATGTGGAGTGTGGGACAGGTGGCTGTGGGGTGTGTATGTTTGGAAGTTTGGTGGATGCAGGGAGGTGACTGAGCTCTCCCAACAGGGTCCCACCTCCCATGCTCCTTGGAGTCATGGGCCTAGGCGGGGAAGACCTCTCTGGGAAGAACACACAGAGGGTCGGAGGGTCAGATTGGAGGTGGTGGCTGCCTACCTGCTCCAGGGCATGGTGCGCCTTCGTGGCCTCTGCCTCCTCCGAGGAGCCAGGCTGTGTTCTCTTCAGAATGTTCTATTGAACAGACAGTGGGCAGGAGTGATAGGGGAAGAAGAAACGGGAAACAGGAAGAAACGATTGGGGGCTGGTGAATGGAGAAGCCCAGGGACCCCATTTCAGCAGCAAATATTTCTAAGCAAGCAGGCAGTGGGCAGCAGGGAGACAGGATGTGGAGGTCTGGCAGAAGAATGGTTGGTCCTTTGTTATGGGTCTTCCTGAGGGCATCCCTTTGAGTTAAGGGGAGAGGATCAAGGTAGCATCTGCCCTACCTGGAGCAGCAGTTTGAGGCGGGTGATGCGTTGGAAGGGCAGAATCAGAAAGGACTTGAGGGAAAGGCGCTGGCAGACGGGGTCGCTCTCCAGCTTCTCCAAGACCTCTCGGAAATTGCTGTTGCTATTCCTGCATGGAGAGCGAGCCTTAGGGGAGGGGGGATGTGGGGACCAATGGGGATGCAGTGAAGGCGCGGGGAAGGGAGCTCAGTGGAATGTCTGTGGGATGGGAAAGAGCAGTGGGAGCTGAGGTACAGGGCGCTCAGATGTGATGGTTGGGGGAACCAACGCGGAGGGCGGGATGGGGAAGTGTGCTCTTGGGATAGCCCGCTGGGCTGGGGACTGGTGCATGGTCACTGCAGGCCTACATGGGGACTGAATGGAGGATGAGTCTCACATCAGGCTCTGGAAGGTGCGTTCCTGATAGGTCTGGTTGGTGACATAAGGCAGGTAGACCCGGCGGAAGTCTGGGGCATGGTTCAGGACTACATCACATACTTGGAAGGAGAAGATATTGTTCTCAAAGTTCTCTTCCAGGTCTGAAAGGAACCTGTACAGGATTTAAACAAGTCTCATGAGACTTCTGGGCCTCAGTTAAGCAGCTGACTGGCCCCTGATGTACACTGAGCTGGTGACTTCTTCACTCCATTAGCCAATAACTTCTATTGACTCTCCTTTGCTCTGTGCTCCATGCTATGCATTAGAATTCTCTCCAAAACTGTCCTGAGTTTGAGCCTAATGTAACACTTTTATTCTAATATTCCATTTCTCATTCTTCTTTTGACCCTGTTCAGGTTTTCTGATCTTTAGATGGTTTTTCCACCTCATCTTCAATGCAGTGCATGACCACAGTCATCCAAAACCTCAATCCAGGAAGTATTGCTCATTTACTTCTTCGTTAATGGATCTATCCACCCACAGGCCCTCTCCTCTTCTTGCTATTCTTTTTCCTACAGCCACCAGGAATCATGGAAGAAACTGAGGCCCAATTTCATCCCATCTCATAAGAAAATGAGAGGGTTTCTAACGGGGGAAAAAAACAATGGAACATTTAAAGCCTCACAACAGCGAGGCTGAGTGAATGGGATTTGAGAGAAGGGGGGTCTCACGTGGCGCTGACGTCTCGCACATCCTGTAAACGAGAGAAGAGCCATTGGTGCTCCTGGTTGGAAAGTGTGGCCCGGAGTGAGGTTGAAAGTTGGAAATGATCCACAGCTATGTTTAGACTGCGCAGATAGGAGGCCTCTGACACGATCAGCTCAAATTTGACCTAGGAGGTTGGAGATGAGGAAGATTAACTAAGAATTTTATTTACACCCTGGAATATGCCAGCCACTGTGTAATGTTTTAGGGGTAGAACGGTGGGCAAGATCCTTTTATGGTTCACAGTCACACCAGAACCTTAGTTGATCTACGGGGAGAGGGGAAGAGCATTTGAGTAGGATTTAATCTAGGGCTGAAGCACAGGTACAGTCCTTCAAAGGTGTAAGAAAACTATGCTTTCCAGAAATCTAAATAACACAAAAACAAGAACAAAAAATGAATAACAAAATCAGATGAATATGTTAATTTGCTTCACTAGGGTAACTGTGTTACTATTTATATGTATCCTATAACATCATGTTGTATATCTTGAATATACACAATAAAATCTATATTAAAAAAACTAAGTAGACTGGGCGCAGTGGCTCACACCTGTAATCCCAACACTTTGGGAGGCTGAGGCCGGTGCATCGCTTGAGTCCGGGAGTTCAGGACCAGGCTGGGCGACATAGAGAGACCCTGTCTCTACAAAAAATACCAAAATTAGCCGGGTATGGTGGCATGCACCTGTAGTCCCAGCTATTTGAGAGGCTGAGGCGGAAGGATTGCTTGTGCCTGGGAGGTGAGGTTACAGTGAGCCAAGATCGCGTCCCTGCACTTCAGCTTGGGCGACAGAGTGCGACCCCGTCTCAAAACAAACTAACTAACTAACTAAACTGAGCATTTTTTGAACCAAGTGTACAGCAGTAGTGGCAACAGATGAAGTTGCAGCAGTCGAGGAGGCCTTAAGGGTAATGTAAACAATGTAAAATTGTTTGGACTTAAGACAATGGGACAATGAAAATAGGCTTTACATGGGAGAATAACCTAACCAGATTTGCTTTTTATAAAGTTATTTATTTTTTTGAGATGAAGTCTCGCTCTGTCACCCAGACTGCAGTGCAGTGACATGATCTCAACCCACTGCAACCTCCGTGTCCCAGGTTCAAGCGATTCTCCTGCCCCAGCTTCCTGAGTAGCTGGGATGACAGGTGTGCACCTCCACGCCCAGCTAATTTTTGTATTTTTAGTAGAGACGGGGTTTCACCATATTGGCCAGGCTGGTCTCGAGCTCCTGACCTCAGTTGATCCACCCTCCTTGGCTTCCCAAAGTGCTGGGATTAGAGGTGTGAGCCGTTGCGCCCAGCCTGTTTTTTATAAAGTTATTTCTAAGCAGAATGAGAATAAAAGATGAAAAGAAGCAAGAGCCATGTTAAGAAACTGTTGTAATAATTCCATATGAGAGATGAAGGCCTGAATAGCCATGGAGCTGAAGAGAAGTAGATTAATTTTATAATTATTTATGAGGTAGAGTTGGAAGGGTTGGATTATTTGCTAGAAATGGAGCCTTAAAGAGAAGGACGGTTCAAAGCTAATGTTTTGTACTCAAGCAAAAGCTTTATGAGTCGGGCACCTGAGTGAATGATGGAGTAATTTACTGAGCCAGAGAACTTTGAAAAAGGCATAGATTTAGGGGATGAAGGTGATGAGCTCAGTTTGAGGTTTGAGGACAGATGAGGAGCAGGAGACAGAAGGAGGATATCTGAGAACAAGATGGCACAGCTGTGGTTGAATGTATGCCCAGCATGTGAGAACTTGTCTGGAGGTTCCAGGTGCGCCATGACTCATGACCATGCCTCCAGCTTGGATGAAAAGCATGAGGCCTCAAGAGAGATGCCTGGATAGAAAAGAGATGACTTGGATGACCAATGACACAGCCAGATGACCCTCCCATACAACAACCCTGAACAGGGACACTGAGGGCTCATTTGCATTCTTGCTCTAACATTCACTACACGACTGACTGTGGGTGGCTCATTTAACTTCTCTGAATCTCACTTTTCTTGTCCTTTTATGTGGATATAGTGACCCCCATCTCACTGTGGAAGATGCGACAGTCAAAAGAAATGGAGTCTGTGAAAGTACTTTGTGGACCCCAGAGGGGCTACTTTATAAAATGAGTTATGTGTATTTCAGAGAGACAAATGTAAAGCCCATTCTTCTCACAAACATGAGACCAGGGCTGGAATAGGAGCCCCGATGGACTTCCCAGTATGCTGGAGTTGGTAAAAGAGAGCTAGAACTCGTGTCATCTCCCATTGTTTGGTCAACAAATATGGGGAAGATCAGTTATTTTCTAAATATCTTCTCTGTACTTAAACATTTACAGCCAGAACAGGGCTCTCAAGTCTGAACTTTGCGAAGTCTAAAAATGTATTCTGTCTCTGACTCGGTAAAAGCATTGTCTATCCATAAGGCCTCCTGGCCCAAATTTTACTCCTCCCTGCCTCTGAAAGGCAGAGAGTATGGCACTAATATTTATCAAACTATACATCAAACATTATTGCTAAATTAGATATGCATTATTTCATTTAAACCATTCAGCAACCCTGAAAGGTAGGCGTTATTATCCTCAATTTGCAAGTGAGGAAACTGAGATTTAGTGAAGTTATAAGGCTGCCTAAGCTAGTAAATGGTGAAGTCATGTTTCAAACCTAGGTCTGGCTTACTTAAAATGAAAAGTCAACATTTTTTGAGAAATTACTATGTACCAGGCATTCATGTTTCTTGATTCTTGCGGTTAACTGTTTGTATCTCAGTTTTACAAATGAGGAAACCGAGGCTTAGAAAGATCACGTCGTTTGGCCAAAGGTAAATTGGAAATATTAAAGTGGGCTCTGCGGCTGGGCTCAGTGGCTCATGCCTATAATTCCAGCACTTTGGGAGGCCGAAGCAGGAGTATTGCTTCAGCCCAGGAGCTCGAGACAACTGGGCAACATAATGAGACACCATCTTTACAAAAAATTAAAAAATCAGCTAGGCATAGTGGTACATACCAGTAGTCCTAGCTACTTGGGAGGCTGAGGCGCGAGGACTGCTCAAGCCCAGGAGGTTGAGGCTGCAGTGAACAATGATTGTACCACTGTACTCCAGCCTGAGTGACAGAGCAAGACCCTGTCTCTAATAAATTAATAATTAAAAAAAAAAAAGTGGGTTTCATATCCAGGTCATTTCTTCCAGAACCTAATTTCTTAAACATTATTCTATTCCATTGTTCCATATGGTCTTTATAGGAAGAAAGGTTTTACCCCATATTTCAGACAAATTATTAAGAGGCGCTCTCCATGTAATGGTAATAGCTTAGAATCAGGCAAACAGCCTCTAGTTCAGTCTTGCTGTTGGGAGTAACAACCAAGCAGGGACTGACGCTCATTCTAAGGCCCCTGTTAGATTGATGGACCACAGGACAGCTGCAAGGGGCCCTCTTCAAGGGACCCAACAAAGAGCCCCTGAATGTGCCTTGGCTAAAGAGGAAAACTGTAGTGTAGCCTGAAACCCTGGTTGAAAAGGGAAGCTTTCCTCTACCCTGAAACAGCAATGATGGGATTAACTCCACATTCCTCCACACAAATTCAGAGGCAATGGCCACCCTGTATAGCCCAGACCAACAGCAGGTAGGAGTAAGTGGCCTATGGCATGAGGAGGTGAGGATAAAAGGGGAGGTGGTGAAATGCAGAAAACAATTCAGCTTCTTCAGAATGGACATGACCCACAGCTGTGGCATGTACACGCGCCTGTGTGGTGGCGACAGCCAACTCTTGGTGGCAGTGGTGAGCCGGAGAGAAGGATGCTAGCACACGAGACCTTGTCATCTTTTCTATAGCCCCCTCCCCACCGCGGCCTGCCCAGTACCTCTTGCAGCTTTTGGTCTTCGTGAGTCATGGAGAGCAGCACGGTGCTGTTGCGCACCACGGGGATTTCCTGCCAGAGGGAGCCGCTGGAGGCCACGGAGAGCCGCTTCAGGTACGACTCGGACGAGACCAGGGCCTTCCGAGGCTGCCGTGGAGAGCTAGGCCCGGGTGTCTCAGGTAGGCTCTCCAGCCTCTGCTGGCTCTGGATCTCCTTATTCAGGACAACATCACTATACTCCTGGTAAAGCAGCTGGGCTGCAGGGCAAAGAAGCATGGGAAGGAAGAGAAGCAGGAAGAAGGGACGTGAGTAGAGGTGGGGAAACAGATCTTCTGCAATGCCTTCTCGCTAGGGACATCCCTACCCCACTGCTGACAGTCACAAGCCCCTCTCCAGTGCTGGGCAGAATGCCCACCTGGGTCTATAGTTCCATGTCAAGGTACTCACAGGAGTTGATGAGCTTGGAGCAGCGTCTTGAAAAGCCTCCCATGACCTCCTTTGGTTTTTTCTCCCTGTGGAGTAAAGAAGGGCTCTGGGGTACCTACTGGCCATTAGACACAGAGAACCCCGGCGACTGTGGGGGACAAAGTCTCTAACCTCTGGGATGCATGCTGGGATGTCAAGACCAAATCCCCCGGAGAGGCAGAGTTGCAGCTTGACCCACTTGGGTTAACATGGAGCTTTTTTGGGGTTTAGTTCATGGCCATAGGGCTTGGGAGGACGGATGACTTGTAGGCTCAGCTGACCAAATGAGGTAGATAAAGACAATCTCCCTACCCTGGTATCCCGGCATCTCTCTCTTCTCCTCCTTACACCCGGAAAAAACAGGAATGAGCCATTCAGGGTCTCAGAACCCTTATCAATGGAAATTCTCATGAGGAGATCTCAGTATCCCAAGTAAAGAGAGTACATGTGGCTGTTAGGGGAGAGGGTGACTCACCGAAAAACAACAGTGTCTGAGGGTGCCAGATGTTTCTCCATGGCTGGACCTCTTGAATCTAAAAGTGGAAATGTGGAAGTTAACTGAGATTTCAGAGGGATAGAGACAGCCAAAGAAGGTAAGACCTAGAGCAGGAGATGTAGGGGTCCAGAAGGGAAAATTGGCTCTATTGGGAAACTGGGAGGGAAGAAAGTGGCAAAGCAGAGAGTGTGAAGGAGACCAGTACCAGCAATGTCCCCAGCCACGGGTCAGGATGGGACTGGGACAAGTACAGGAGGCCTTTTCTACCACCCAGGAGGAGAGCAAGCTGGGGACTGTAACTGAAGAGTAGAGGGGAGTCCAAAAAACCTTGGGACATCCAAAGAAGGTGCTGGTTGAGAGAGAGACAGGGAGATAGAGGGGAAGAAGGAAGAGCATCCCAAGGAGCTTGGAGGGCGTTTTGGGGCTCTGTGTTGAGGTTAGGCACATGTGTGAGTGAAGCCAGCACAGGGAATGTTAGGAACCCTGAGGATCAGAAGATGGGATAAGGTGGGAAGAGCTGGGAAAAGCCTGGTCTGATGTGTCACTGTGGTCCTGGTCCTTGCTCACCTGAAGAGCCCTCAGGCAAGATGGAAGGTCTGCGCAGGCCCTGCCGGCTCCAGCCCTTGTGCTTGCTGGCCCCTTCACTAGGAGCCACAGCCTGTCCACTGCTGTCCCCTGGTGGCCTCCCTGAGTCCCGCCTGTGGGGCCAGCTGGACGCCTTCTCCAGGTGCAGATGGCTGGGTTTTTCTGGCTGCCTTGCTTGGCTCACAGATGACCTCCCTGGGCCACTGGTTCCTTGCTGAGGGGTTGTCCTTCTCAAAGATTCTCTTGCAGGGACCTCAGGGTGTTCTGAGCCTCCTGCTTCATCCTTAGGGTTGGGTCCCTGGAGCTCTGGAGTCCAGGGGGTGGTAGGGGAAGAGGGGCATAGGAAGTTTGTCATGTTGCTGAAAGCCAAGCCAGGGGACACTTCGCTCTTACTCCTGCTGGTGGAAGTGAAAGACTCTGTTGATCTACCTGTGGCCGGGGGCCAGGAGGTGCGTCCAGCAGAGGTGGGGATGGGGACTGTCCAGTCTTGACAAGCAGGTCTTGTTTTAGCATGACCCCCTGAGTTCGTATGTCCTCCCCGAGTGCTCCTGCTCCTCCCCCTGGACTTTGGGGGTAATGGGGGTGGTTCGGTGGGAGGGTCTATGATGGGTAGCGGGGGTAGAGGCCTGTAGATCCTTGAGATACCAGGAGCAGAAATGGGAGAAAGGTGGGGCTGCGGCTCAGGGGTAGGGGGTAGCGGCTTGTTGTATCTCCACCTGGGGGTGACCTGAGCATGGTGGAAGCTGTCTGGGGTAGATGGCAGAGGCCAGTGCTGCCTGGCCACAGCAGGGTCAGAGGCTTGGGGAAGTGGGCCTTTATGGGGGGTATATGGCCCTGAACCTAGGGCCAATGGAGGAGGGTGGCTATGCTGCTTCAGTGTGGGAACCACCACACGTGGATGGCCATCTCTCTCCACCACGGAGGGATGGGCGTCCCTCCTCTCTGGGGGAGGAGGGGGCAGAGGTTCGTGGATCCTCACATCCATGGAGACAAAGGATGGGGAAGAACCATAGGCGGGAGACTCTGCGGCAAAGGCTGGATTATGTGGGGAGCCCCAGGGCTGGCTGCTGGGAGGACTGCTGGGCCTCTCTAGATTGGAGATGGATCCTTGAGAGTCCTGCTTCGGAGTGGATAAGGCAGTAGGGGATTCTGAAACGGTGCTGCAGTTCCTACCACTATTTCTGTCCCTTCTTGGGGACACAGAACTGTAGATGGCAGGCTTGGGGGGCCTCTGGGGCAGCTCTGAGTGGGAGTGGAAAAGCAACATTCCCACCAGGTCTGGCGTCTGCTCTGTCCCGTGAGAACCGGGGAAGGAGTCACTCCGTAAGTACTGGACAGTGCCTGTGGAGTCAGCTGGGGGCCTGGGAGGGCTGGCCCCGGCAGAGGGGAAGCCATGGAGGGTAGCCGGGCACATTTCCGAAGTCCCCCGGGGAGATGGGTCATCCATTGAGAGAGGGGCACTGGCAGTTTCTGAAGCATGTGCAGCACGAGAGATTTCCCTCCTGGGAAAGGCACCTGGGGGCCTGGCAGATACCGAGGCAGGTGTGATGGAGGAGGCTTCAGCAGGACTGGGAGGAGCTGAATCTGGTGTCCCTGGAGGAGTCACAGATGCACTGGCAAAGACTGCCTTAGTCCCTTGGCTGGACACTGTTCCCTCCCTCAGCCTGGATCCCTCTTGCTGGCTGTTTTGACCTATTTCCTTGTCAGGTGACTCCTCAGTCGAAAAGGAGCCCAATAGAGAAATGGGCTGGTGAGAGCATCTGATGGGCTCTAACGAGGGAGACAGAGCTGCAGGGGACAGTTCCTCAGCCCTGGACTCTGTCTGAGTCCTGGGAATCTGAGTCGCGAGATATGAGGCACCTGGAAACAGGTCACAGTGAGGAGAGTCCTCCGGGGCTACCAGAGCGGGCATCGAAGGCCCATGATGCTCATTCTCCTCTTCCCTGCTCCTCACTCCTCCCACTGCCCCCAGCCTGCCCCCATCCCAACTCCCTGGCTCTTTCTCCTCCTGCCCGCTGACTGGCACCCCTTTCTCCTTTAGACCATGATCTTCTTGCTTTCCAGTTACTTCCTCTGACTTTCCCACAAAGCTTTGACTCTTCTCATCCTGAGAGTCCACCCTATTCTCTTCTGGCATCTGCAGCTCCCTCTTTCTCCCTTCTCCCTGTTCTGGACCTCCCTGACCCTGAGCCCTCCTCTCCATATCCTCCTGCTCCCACTCACCATCATTCAGACCCTCTGGTTCCTCAGTGAGCCTCGCTCTTTCTCCTTGTCTCCCAAGCATCACATCATCTTGTACCTGTTCCTGTTTTTGCTTCTGTTCTCCCTTTTCTCGATTAACCTGCTCTATCATCTGTTCCTCCCCCAACAGCCCATCAGCACAAACATCCTCCCCCAGAGTTCCTTCCCCTGCAAATCCTGCTTCCTGCTGCCCCTGCTCCTCCAGAACTTGGACCTCCTGGGGATGCAAGAGCCCTCGACTTTCCTGCTGTTCCTCGGATGGCAGCTCTTCCCCCTGCCTGATAGTCCCACTTTCAGAGCCTTCACTCTGGTTGGTCTCTGCAGGATGCTCTTCGCAGGGAGAATAAAATCTGGTCTGACCAGAGGTATCTGAAGAGGTTTCCTCTTCTTCTTCTGCCTGTCCGGATCCCAGTGTCAAAGAAGTAAGTCCTGGCCAAAATTCTACCTCCTCTTCTTCGCTTCCCAGGTCACTGGAAAATGAGGCCATGTCTAGATGATCACTCTGAATGGGGCAGGCCCAGAGCTCTGGGGAAGCTACAGTCCTTGCTTGTTGGCCTGCCAGGCTCTGGGGTGCTGCCTCCCAGTGTTCCGGAGTGTCACAGGTCTCAGCCACAAGGCTTTCCTGATTGGGCTCCACATCTGCAGAACCTTCCTTGGGAAAAGAGGGCATCGTCTCACCCGCATAGTCACACACATCCCTTAACTCTCTCTGCTGGGTTGCTGAGAGTCTGTGTTCCTCTCTCCATTTATAGGATGGGTCCTCATCTTCTTGAGCTTCAAGCCCCAAGGCAGACACCTGGCTGCTCCTCATGGGAGCCTCAGGGATAATGCTGAGTTCCACTATGGCAGGGATGGAAGGAGAGGCTCCATGCTGGGCCTCCTCAGCCTCCATCAGGGCTGAGTCCTAAGGAGGAATCAAAGACAAAGGTTTCTAATAACTCCGCTTTTACCTATCAGAGGAAGAGACCGTAAAAAAGAAGAGTGACGCATTTATTTGGTTCCATTTAGGGTCAGTCTTTGAGACAACAGGTTCTCAACAAAATAAGCAATAGGCTCTATAAAACTTGTCATTGATGTATTTATTTCATAAATATTTTCCTAGCGACCCTGTTAAGTGTGGGGCATTCAGTAGTGAATGAGATAAAGATCTTGTCGTCATGGAGCCTGTGGTCTCATGAGGGAAACAGGTCATAACGAACAATTAAATTATAGCAGAGGACCATTGGCAGAGAGTGCCAAGCAGCTCCTCGTTGTCAGTTCTCTCTAGACTCCATTATGTCATCTTCTGTCTCTCCCTGTCTACTCTTCGGACACTAGCAGTGACTCAGCCTCATATAACTCCCAGACACAGCACAGAACACACCCCAGATCTATTAGGCCAGAGAAGCAGTGTCAGGAGAGGGTCTTCCTCTTAAGCTGTGGACATCAGTTAAAATAGGCCAGGCTATGATAGTCAATGTGCGAGGTGCTATGGTTTCATCTTCTTTAGAGAGGGTTTGGAGTTGACTCATCTTTCTATTTTCCATAGTGTCTACTACAGCATTGTAACTAACCAACAGTTTTGTTTCCAATTCTAGAGGCAGCTGTTGTAAAGTGGGATGATAACCGCCTTATTGGATTAGTGTTGAACTAGACAGGTTACCACCTTCAAGGAGGACCACAGAAGGGTGACTTCTGCATCATCTTACTCTCCCCTTGGCCTCAGTATCCATACGAACTCTTCTCATGAATTCTTTTGACCTTCCTTCTCTGGATTTCAACCTTCCTGCCTTTCCTCTCACTTTCAGCAGAACACCTCATCTCCTATTTTGCAAAGAAAATAGAAACTGATGGAACTGGGTTTCTCTCACCTCAATTTCTAGCGATCCAAAGCAACCTGTATTTCCACTCTTTCTGTCTTCCGCCCTCAGTCAGGAAAAGATGTATCTCTCCTTTCCATGCTCTGTCACTTCTAGCCTCCTTCCCCAGGAGCCCTGCGCACTCATACTTTCAACATACCTGCTGAACAACCCCTGGGGTATGGAAGCATTCCCACATTCTTCTCATCTTTCAAATGACTAGAAGGAGTTGCTCTTATCTGCTGTCTTCATACTCTCACATCTCGCGTGCCTCCAACCCAGCTTTGATAAGCAGCATTCTGTCAATATTCCCTACAATCTACATGTTGTTAATTCCAAAGAAGACCCTACGGATCTTCATTTTGGGGAGTTCTTGTCAGTATTTGACACTACTGAGGTTAGAAATATTCTCTTGCTACTTGTAGTATTACATTTTTCTGGTTTTACCCCTTTAGTTTCCCCCGATTTTTTTTTTTTTTTTTTTTTTTGAGACAGAGTCTTGCTTTGTCACCCGGGCTGGAGTGCAGTGGCACAATCTCGGCTCACCGCAACCTCCACTCCCGGGTTCAAGTGATTCTCCTGCCTCAGCCTCCCGAGTAGCTGAGACTATAGGCGTGCGCCACCACACCCATTTAATTTTTGTATTTTTAGTAGAGATGGGGTTTCACCATTTTGGCCAGGATGGTCTCGATCTCCTGACCTCATGATCCGCCTGCCTCGGCCTCCCAAAGTGTTGTGATTACAGGTGTGAGCCACCACACCCGGCCTCCCCTGATCTTTTAACTAGGTTAAACTGTACCTCTCTTTGTAGTACTTTGCAACTATAATTCAGTTACTTTTCCTTTGTAGCATTTATACAATTATAATTATATAATGATATGTGTATTTTGATTTACTCTCTATTGCAACCAATAGATGGTAAAATTTATGAGATTAAGAACTATGACTTGCTCAATGATCCATACTTAGCCTAATACTGGCCTAAACTAAGTGTTTAATAAATATTTTTCACATAAAGAATAAAATTCAGGCCAGAATAAAATGTGATCCTTTTATTTCAATGGAAAATGCCCACCTTTTCCTAAAATAATGATTAACAGTTTACACAGAACTTTAAACATTTAGAGCTGTATACACACCAAATTAATTTTTCTTATTTTTCATTCTGAAACACTAAGGTTTTCCTGCATACATGTCACTAAAAATAATGAAACACTTCTTTAAATATGTATATGCCATATATCTAAGAATCATCATATAAGATGAGTACCATTATTCTGCCCATTTTACAGATGAGAAACTGAGTTTCCCAATGCACTTTATATATATAATCCTGACACTTTGGGAGGCTGAGACAGGTCAATTGCTTGAATTTAGGAGTTTGAGACCAGCCTGGAAAACATGGTGAAACCCTGTCTCTACAAAAAATACAAAAATTAGTGGAGCATAGTGGCACGTGTCTGTAGTCCCAGCTACTCGGGGGCTGAGATGGGAAGATCCCTTGAGCCCAGAAGACAGAGGGTGCAGTGACCCAAGATTACATCACTGCACTCCAGTCTGGGTGACAGAGTGAGACCCTGTCTCTAAATAAATAATTAAATAAATAAATAAAAATAAAATAAAATTCTTGTTTCCCTCCTGGCCCAGATTCCCCATATCTAATCAATCACCATGTGCTATTGACCTCATCTGCTAAATACCCCTTAAGACTGTCCAGTTCTGTCCCATCCGTCTCCACCGGTGCATGCTGCTACTGCCTCGCCCGGCCACTGCACCCGGCCACTGCCTCGTCCGGCCTCTGCACCCGGCCACAGCTTGGGCACTGGCCTCCACTCATTTTGTGCTATTCCAATCCGTTCTCCATACAGTACCTAAGTGAGCTTCAAAAGCCCCACTTCCAGCTTAGATTCTTCTGTAACCTCTGAATGCTCTTGAGATGAAATCTAAATCTTCAGCATGGGCTACACACCCTGTACAACCTGGCTCTGCCTTCTTCTCCAGCAGCCTATTCACCTGTCACCATCTGTCCCTGCCCCCATCCCCCCTCTCCCACTGGCTTTCAGTGTCTTTAGCTCACTTCTCTCTCTGTCTCTCACCTGTAGGCCTTTGCAGACACTGCTCCTCTGCCTGGAATCCTCTTTTGCAACAGATAATCCTTTGCTTCTCCTCAAACATACCTTGCACTTGTCATGCCATATTTAATGTCTGTTTTCCAGGCTAGATCATGAGCACCACGAAGCCACAAACACTGCCATATAAGCCCCTCTGCCTGAAGCTTAGTTGGTCCTCAACAAAGATGTATTGCATGAATGAATGGTGGAAGAATATAGAGTGAAAAGAGTGTGGCTCAGTGTTTGGTTGTGCCTCTTTGGTATCTTTGCTGGTTTTAAGACAATTGTAGAAACCATTTAATTTATTTGAACATCCAATTTCTTATCTTTAAAAAAGGAGATAAAAGGACTCCTTCACAGTTCTAATAAAGATTAAATAACATAAAAATGTACACTGTTATCTTTAAGGGTCATAGAAATGGTGGCTATCGTAAATACTGTTGATCTGAGAGAGAGAGAATAAGTGTAAGCGAGAAGCATAGGATTCATAAAGCCGGAAGGACCTTCAGAGACACACAGAAACTTTGCTCAATTTACAGATGAAGAAACTAAAGGTCAAAGACCCTAGACCCTTGCTCAAATCTCCTAAGCGAATGGTATGAGCAAACCTGAAGCAAAGTCGCTTGACTTAAGTCTACTGTAAGCACTTAGAGTTTCCACTGAAAGAAAGCTGGCAGGGCATCAGTCCAGAGAAGACCCCAGAATTCTATGGACCCAATGCTGCACCTGACCCTGCACCTTTCTTGTCTGGTCCAGGCTTAAACTGAAAACTCACCTGCTCAGAATACGGTCCTGCTGAGCCACTGTGTACACACACACAGACACACACACACACACACACATACACACTGAGCCATGCTTACAATCTCTTGCAATAGAGACTGACATAACCAAACAGGCAGGTCCCCAGCACACTGCAGAGTAGTATGTGACAAGATTCTGGCCATCCCAGAGACACAGATACCATCTATATGGGGCAAAGAGGTATGCCTGACATAATTGTACACAGGCAGAAGGACTTTTATGTCCTTTTCCAGTTAATTGACACCATGTGCGATTGGCTCCCTATGTCTAGCCCTTAAGTACAAAATAGTATAATCCCTATGGGTGATTCTGTGATGTGGCCCTATTCTCTCAACCACACATTGGATAATATACTTACTCACTGTAAGACACTTTCTGAAACTTGGCTCCTTCCTGCCTAAGGAGATCATGGGACTAAACCTGTGGTCTCTCCTCACCTACATCTGTATGGTTCAGGCCCTCTCCTCCATATACACCATCACGTCCTCAAAACAAGTAGCCTCTAAATATGTGTGTTTCTGCCATATCTAGGGTATATCTATAAATACCATGTGCTACCTGGACATTTTCTGTTCCAATCTAGTGGCACCATGCATGCCTGCCTCTGCAAACCCATTGACACTGTTTCCAACTGTCTTTTTTTCATTTGGAAATATCGGTGGTCACCTGCTCAGCCACCAGTTACCGCAAAGGGAGAACATACCCCACGTTCCTTATACTTGATCCTATCTCAGTGATCCTGTTGCAATCAGGCATGACAAAGCTAAAATGTGACGAAGTGAAAGGAAATCTGTAAATCATGGTCTTACTCACGTAAAGGCATCAGGAGAGAGTTTTTCTGCAATGCTCATTATGTTAGAGTGCAAACATCCTCATCTCCTTCTCCACCGAGGGTGAATAATCACCGTTTATCTGTGTACAGGCAAAGCCAGGGCATGGGATCATGGGGATATGGCCTTCCTTCAGACCACAGACATTTCGCATCCACATAACCCCACCCACGTGTGACTTCTTGAGAGGCAAAGTTTCAAGTCATCCCTTTAACACAATGTATGACAGAGCTCACTATCTTCCCTAGAGCCCCCCACCCCCGAACACCTTAGGTCTTGTCTATTTCTAGTCACTAGAAACAACACTGTATTTCAAGGATACAAACCCTCCCCAATCAAACTGCCAAGTCTTGAACTGAGGCTCAGTGCCGTATATATTTTTGAGGACCATGCTTCCTGGATTTTCTAGCAAGGTCGATTTCAAATATTCTGACCTACAAACCACTAAAACAATATTGAGTTTAAAATAAGATCACCACATAGATATCTAACTTTATTACTGTTTGACATCACTGCCCTCGATACTACAAAGATATCAAAATAGGGGTAGCTTTCTGGACCACTGACTACTACAACGTGTGTTTTGTCCACTGTAGGAAAGTCCCACCATGCCAGTGAAAGCTGTAATAAACATTTATCTATTCCCTAATGTCTGAAAATGTCACACCAACTGCCTTATAGACCAGATAGTTTATATAAGAACATTACTAGTTTATATAAGAACATTACTAGTATCAATGCTGACTTACACTCCACAATCTCGTCTGTGGCCCTGGTGGCATCCACACAGATAATATTAGTGTGAGTGACATGTTTGTGTATTAACATAGACCTTAAGGGTGACTTTGTTCCAGTTTACCTTGCAGGCACTATAAGCCATCAGCTCCTGCTTACTCCACAGACACTGTGAGTGACCCTGTCCCTATCTACACCAGAACTGTTGGTCGCCTGTTTGAGTCTACACCACTGACACTTGAGTAATGCTGCTCCTGTTGAACCCCAGACCCTATGAGTGACACCATTCTGGTCCATACCACATAGCGACTGATCTCTCCAGACACCACAAATGACGTATTCCTGTCTATCCCACAGACACCACACGTAATGTGGCCAAAGAACCTCAGACAGACCGCGTTGAAGGCAGCGATACATTCTCAGGACCTCTGATATATGAAGACTCTTCTCTCTATTGAGAATCGCTATATTCTGTTGATAAGAGGGATTCCTTTACACTCCTGATTTCTCTCTCCTCCCCAGTAGGACCATGACATACATTCCTCCTGCACAACTGTCTCATGCAGAACTGACACGCCCTCATCCCATCTTCCCAGCTCCTCAGGACTCCTCCGCTAGCCATGGCTTCGGTTTTAGGCCCACAGATTGGTTCACACATGACACCTATTTTGCTAAGGCCTATACCAGGAGCTTCTTCATGCTCCAAGTGTGGATAAAACAGGACGTCTGAGACAGAGGCCACATCAGGAGCTTTTGAGCTGGGAGCTGGGATCTCTGGATTAGGTCCAAGATGCAAGGCGAGACAGTGGAGTGGAGTGGGGGAGCAAGCCAGGAAGGAAGCTCGAAAGGAAAACCGCCCTCTCTGGTCTGTTTGACACACCCTTCTCTCTCCACCAGACAAGAGTCCTGGCCAGAGTTCACTTCTAGGTAGACAGGAGGGCAAATCTGTCTTTGGAACCCAAGATCCAGGAAGGGAAGAAAGGGACTGAGATCTGGAAATGACGTGGTATCACAATTGGCTCTCCTCGGGCAGTCTGGCCGGAAGGCAACTGCAAAAGAAGCTCAGGGGTTCTAGAGCGCTGAGTCCTCATTCTAGCACCCCCACCCCTACCTCAGCCCGCAGCTCTAAATAACTTCTTTCCACCTTGCTAAGCATGCAATGTTGTGATTCACATCAAGCTTTAGGAGGCTCCCCATTTGTAGGGAACTGGGGTGAGGGGCAGGGCAGGAGTCACTGTTCCAGGTTACACAGCTTTGGATAACACGGAGAGAAGCTACACATAGACTCACACAGTATGCAAATACCTATGGAGATAAATAAGGAAAGGCCCCGGCCTGGTGAAGGAAAAGGAGCCGATAAAACCTCTCCAGGTAAGGAACAGCCTAGAAAGGGAATCTCAGTTATTCCTTCTAATACGGCTTAGTTTACCCCCGGGCGCCGACTTTGAAGAAAGGGCCCTGATTATTGGCCCGGGGAACGTCTGGGGGCAGGGTGCCCATTTCCTAGGCGGGACCCGACCGGAAGCAAACTTTTAGGCAACATTTCCTTCAGTTCCTCTCCTCTTCCCCACCAGGGTCCTCAGCCACACACCCCGAGCCCTGCCTGCAGGCCCAGCCCCCCCATTTCCGGAGCCTGCGCCCCGGACCCAGCGGGGGCTGATCCCTGGGGAAGGCCTGGCTTCCTCTTCCTTCCTGGCCCTGCCCCACCTCCGCCGGGCTCCACGGCCGCCGGGAGCCCAGGGCCGAGACGGGAAGAGGGCACCCACCTGGTCGGTGTCACATGCTGCTTCGGCCCCAGCGTCCCCTCCAGGTCCCGGCGCCGGCCGCAGTCCCCGGCGCCGTCCCCAGCGCAGGCCCGGCCGCCCCACCCGCGGCCCGCCCCTGGCCGCCCGACGGGAGGGAGGGATCGGGTTCTCCTAGGAAGTTTCAGGTGAGGAAACAGGGACACACCTTCCCGGAGGAGGGGCAGGGCCCCTCCGCGCGCGAGCCCCATTGGTGTGAAAGAAGCTCCCGCGTCAGAGCTGGGAAGTGCCGGGCCGGCGGGGAGGGGAGCCCGGGCGCAAGGGCCAGGCCGCGGGCTGTCCCAGGGAGCCCCGAGGGCGCGGTGCGCGGGCGCAGGGCGGGCGCAGGCGGGGTGACCCGGGGAAGGGTCGCGCTCAGAGACAGAGGGAGCCGGCCGGGCCCCGCGGTGTCCTCGGACGCCTCCGAAATCTCCCTGCGTGTTTGTTTCTTCGGAGCTTCACCGGAGCCTGACTCTGGACCCGGCCTGTCCGCCTGCTGCCGTCTGTATGTGTTTGTCTTTTGCCTTGGCCGTGCCTCTGCAAGTCTGACATCCGTGGTTGTACGAGTGTTTTTATCTTCAGGCCTCAGTGGTTGTTTGTTTGTTTGTTCGTTGTTTTTTTTTTTTTTTTTTTTTTTTTGAGACGGAGTCTCGCCCTGTTGCCCAGGCTGGAGTGCCATGGCGCGATCTCGGCTCACTGCAACCGCCGTCACCGAGTTCAAACTCCGTCTCAAAAAAAAAAAAAAGAGAGACTCTCCTGCCTCAGCCTCCCGAGTAGCTGGGATTACAGGTCCGCGCCACCAGGCCCGGCTAATTTTTGTATTTTTTAGTAGAGACCGGGTTTCGCCATGTTGGCCAGGCTGGTCTGGAAACTCCTGACCTCAGGTGATGCGCCCGCCTCAGCCTCCCAAAGTGCTGGGATTACAGGCGTGAGCCACCGCGCCTGGCCAAGGCCTCAGTGGTAATTTCTCTTCTGTGATATCTCCTCCTATAGAATAAAGAGTGTCTCCTCCTTCTCCTCCTCCGCCTCCTTCTTCCTTTCTCTCTCTCTCTCCACTCTCTCTCTCTCTCCCTCCTCCTCTCCCTCCCTCTCCCCCTCCCTCTTGCCTCTTCCCTCTTCCCTCTTCCTTCTCCTACTTAAGGCCTAGAGGTGTGGTCTCTGAAAGGACATGCCGGTGTCCTTCTGTATTCCTGAGTTTATTTTAGAATGAGTGCATATCTCAGGGTGTATGTTCCTTCTGTGTGCTTTCTAGGGCCTCTGTGTGTGTGTGTGTGTGTGTGTGTGTGTGTATTTAAATCTCTAAGCCCACGTTTGTGTCTTTTCTTATGCCTGTATTTTTTTTTTTTATTCTTTCAGGGAAACCTTGTGTTCTGTTAGTCTTGGAGGCTGAGGCTGAATGGTTTATCTCTGTGCCTCTCCAGTGACTTCAAAGAATGCCAAAAGTCTCTTGAGCATGCGTGTGTGCATACACAGACACACACAAAGTAGGCATCCTTTGCCTCAGGGACAGAGATTTTTGATATTTTTGGTTGAGTCTGACCACCCCCCAAAGCCATTCACTACTCCAAGGGTTTCCATGGTGACAGAAGTCAAGTAAAATATTAATGGACTCCTTGCCTGTTTTGCTCTTAGGAATGCCATGGTCTACAGCCCAAACAGCTTGGTTATACCATTTCCAGATCACCGTGCCCATTTACTGTTGCCAATGATCCTGGTTGAACGTGGTCACTAGTTACTTTGAGGTGACTGTAGGATAGAATGTAATTAAGGAAGTATTAGCCTCTTCTCTAATACAGTCCTGAACAGCTTTATGTTCAAAGAGTATGCTACTTCTGTCGTGTTACTCTGAAGGATTAAGTCTTAAACAGTTTAGCAGTTTTCAGCCCACTCTAATCTGCCGTGGAGTGTATGGGAAACAATAGGAAAAACTGGGATTAAGACTCAAAAATCTGGATTAAGAAGGGCACGCCCAGCGTGTGTCCTAGGCCCAGCAAAGGGGTAAGAACTGGGAGTACAGAAAGGCAAAAAGTTTAAACTGGGACTGGCTCTACTTCTAGGCTAGAATACCAAACTCATTCCCAGGTATAAGAGGGCCTTTGATTTGTAACGAGTGAGCAGAGTAAACTTCTGATCTAGGGCAGAAGCTGTTGACCTCTGGGCCGGGCGCGGTGGCTCACATCTGTAATCCCAGCACTTTGGGAGGCCTTGGCTGGTGGATCACTTGAGGTCAGGAATTTGAGGCCAGCCTGGCCAAACATGGCAAAACCCCTTCTCTACTGAAAATGCAAAAATTAGCTGGGCATGGTGGTGGGCACCTGTATTCCCAGCTACTTGGGAGGCTGAGGCAGGAGAATTATTTGAACCCAGGAGGCAGAGGTTGCAGTGAGCTGAGATTGCACCACTGCAGTCCAGCCTGGGTGACAGAGCGAGACTCTGTCTAAAAAAAAAAAAAAAAACAGAAAGTTGTTGACCTCTGGCATATTTCATGCTGCCTATGGTGGGTGGGCAATGGGGTCAGAGGTGCCAAAACTGTCTCCTGAACCAGCCTGGCTATTCTTTCTGCTTCCCTCCAGCTTCAGTTGGTTCTCCTTGATTACATGTCTCTCTCTCTCTCTCTCTCTCTCTCTCTCTCTCTCTCTCTCGCTCTCTCTTTTTCTTCTCTGAACCTCAGGTCTCATCAACTCGACCTCTTCTTGTTCTGCCAGCTCTGACTTGTGAGCATATTTTGGTTTTTGAAGTCACAACCCTTGATTCTTGTGCACTTGTCCAGAGAGTTAGCACACAAGGCTTTTTCTGACTTCAACTAGTAGGAAAGTTACAACCAACCATTTAGGGAGTTAGCTCTTCCCATCAAGCCTGTTCCTGTCTGCTGGGTGTGTTTGCATGTGAAGGTCACTCTAACTCTCCCAGGTATTCTTCCTTTACTTTGCAGACTATGGTTCTCAGCATTTTATTTTTTTTTTCGTTTTCATTTCTTACTGCTTGGTCTTGGTGACTGGGTTTCTTAATCAGGCCTGTCATCCTATCCTGAGATTTTTATATTTTGTTTGGGCCTATATTTCCTCTATATAAAGGTCTAGAGAGGAGAGAGAAAGACGCAATGGAAAGAGAATGAGATTTAGATTCAGACGGGTAAATTTGAATCCTGCCTTCCGTTTACTTCATGTGAAATCTTGGGCATATTTACCTTCCTGTGCTTTCTCTGAGTCTTCCTACACTTCATTTCCCTAATGTCTTAAATGGGGATAATAATATGTAATAATACCTACATCACTGGATTATTGTGGTGATTCAATAATGTCATATATAGAAATCACCTTAGTATAAGTACCGGATGTGTAAAGGTGGTCAACCTGGGTTCATTTCCTTTCCTAGCAGTGCCTGTCAGTGAGGCATGTTGAATGAATACATTTATAAGAACAAAGTGATAGGGGCTAGGAACAGTAAATAGATGCAAAATAAAGCTATTTTAAAATGAAAGCTGTATTAGATGGGGCTGAATAAAAATAGCTTCTGGAACTTGAGACTACTTTAATCGACAATAATGCCTTTCAGATGAAGTTATAGGGCTTGGGGAGAGGCAGGGAATGATCCTGTGTAGTCGAGGTATCAGGACTAAAGGAATGACAATGACCTTTTTTGAAGCAGGAACTCATCAGCGTTATCCCTGGGGCTGTCATTGTCCTGCCTAGATAATGTCATGGTGCCACCATCCCACATTACTGGCTGCATTGTTCCCACGGTGAACTCTCTCTGACTCTCAGCTGGTCCAGTGCTAGTTCTTGGAACACTCCTAAGGCCTTTCTGCCTCTGCTTTTTGCCTGATCCTGTAACCCAACACTGAACCTTTCTAACTGATTTTTAACTCAGTTCTTGTCTTTTTTTTTTTTTTTTTTGAGATTGAGTCTTGCTCTGTTGCCAGGCTGGAGTGCAATGGTGCTATCTCAGCTCATGGTGACCTCTGTCTCCCAGGCTCAAGCGATTCTCCTGCCTGAGTCTCCTGAGTAGCTGGGATTACAGGCGCACGCCACCACACCAGGCTAATTTTTGTATTTTTAGTAGAGATGAGGTTTCACCATGTTGGTCAGGCTGGTTTCGAACTCCTGACCTTGTGATCTACCTGCCTCAGCCTCCCAAAGTGCTGGGATTATAGGCGTGAGCCACTGTGCCTGGCCCCAGTTCTTCTGTTAATGGGGCTGACCGTGGTCTCTCCATTAGTCTCTGTTGAAGCCAGGCTGGCTTGGCCGTCATGGTTCTTAGCTATCCTCTTCTATTCTAATTTTTATTTTATTTTATTTCATTTTATTTCATTTCATTTTATTTTATTTATTTTATTTTATTTTATATTTTATTTTTTATTTTATTTTATTATTTTATTATTTATTTATTTATTTATTTTATTTCTCAGAGATGGAGTCTTGCTCTGTCCAGCCCAGGCTAGAATGCAGTGGCACGATTTAGGCTCACTGCAGCCTCCACCTCCTGTGTTCAAGTGATTTTCCTGCCTCAGCCTCCCCAGGAGCTGGAATTACAGGTGCGTGCCACCACACCTGGCTAATTTTGTGTTTTTAGTAGAGATGGAGTTTCACTATGTTGGCCAGGCTCGTCTTGAACTCTTGACCCCATGTGATTGGGATTACAGGCGCGAGCTACCGCGCCCAGCCCATCCTCTTCTATTCTGATGAGCATAGTTTTATTTTCTATCCTTGGCTTCCCCTTACTTATTTTCTCAGTCTTTGCACATTGATTGGCATGAGCCTAAATTTAGTGCCATTCAAGGCATACATACTAATTGCCTCATTCATTTTTTTTTCTATTCATTTACTCTATGCATTCTTAGAAACCAGATATACGAAGACAAGATCTCCGCTTTCAAGAAGCTCTCAATCTGATTGAGGAAAGAAACAGGTAGCAAATAATGACAGCAGAGCATGGTAAATGTTATGTTGAGATGGACCCAAAGTACAATGGAAGCATAAAGGAGAGAGTAGGTGGCACTGCTTGGGGAATCAGAGAAGCCTGAATGGATAAGGTGGATTATATATAGTTTTTTCTTTTTGAGCTAGGGTCTCACTCTGTCACCTAGGCTGGAGTGCAGTGGTGTGATCATGGCTCACTGCAGCTTCAAACTCCTGGGCTTGG